TTAAAAATAAATTATTTAAGAAATGGAATGCAGTGCTTGAATTACAGATTCAAAATCAATTCATTGTTTTTTAAGAGTTTCCAATAATAATAACAGCTAAGAAAAGAAAGAAGGAAGGACAAAATTTATAGTGGTCCAAAATATCCCAATATGTTACTTAAATATCCCTATGCAGAGGACATATTGATGAGTGATGTAATAAAAAGCAAAGGGTGCGCCGATTGCATTGCAGTGTATGAAAGGATTTGCTGTTTACTTCGAATGCTTTATTGAGAGTACATATACTGTTAATTATACAGAACACAATATTTTCATATGTGCGCCCGCTGATAAGGTCACACTTATTTCATATTTTGTAAATGTCGATGTTTCAAGGTGTTCGACTTTCAATTGACATCGGAGGATATGGACACAATTGCAGGAATTGACAAAGGACTTCGATTGTTCAAAGCCGAAATGTAAGTAAATAATATAAGTATGCAATGTGTCATGTATTTATTGTTACACAAAAAAAACACCCAATCATGATCTCCGATTCGACATCAAACGTTCAGGATGATGGACCATTATATTAAATATCTTTAAAATCTCGTTTTAATGAAGAATCAAAGATATCCTAGCGGTTCTAGTTCTCATGTTTAGTCCTTCACTGACCTTGACCAACATTCAAGGTCACAGGGGTGAAATATGTGTACCCACGCCTACTCGAGTATATATCAGTAATCAAGTCTCGTTTTAATAAAGAATCAAATATATCCTAGCGGTTTTAGTTCTCATGTTTAGTCCTTCTGCCTAATGTGGACAGCCTTAATAACATTTAACAACATATTACGTACGCCTTAAGCCTCGTCTTGACCTCCGTGGCCAGGACGCACAAGGAGATTTCGTTTTGAACATCCCTTAATAGGCTTGTTTATTTCTCTTTCAGAATGGCTCATCTGGATGACTACCCATTCAACAGTCTTGTGTAAAATGATTGGTTGGACTCCATTCGAACTAAGCAAGGATAGATGATTGTCAGATTGGCAATACCCACTGTAGATAATTTGAAAGTCATGTGTTGTGAAGTATGATATTTTGAAATAAATCCATAAGTTCTCAACATTTGAACAAATTATAAATCTGGACAGAAAGGGAAGATGGATATATGTTGAAAGACACTAGCAGCTGTTGATAAGTTGTGTTTACTTTTAACAAACGACCAATAACATAAACAACACATCTTGGACTAGTAACTCTATTGAAGGTTTTGTACATTTGTGTTTATTATTTATGTAGTTGTGCGTAACTGCAACATGATACATTGTTATAGTTTGGAAACTATATAAAATCATTACAATGACAATAATATAAAATATAACATAAAAGAATTCTCTCTTCATAATGATTCATTTCAAACATGTATGCATGAATATTGTTTCGGTAATAAAAATAGTAAATGAAAAAATTGTTTCTTTAATGCGGCTGATTTGACAACACTTTTAACAATCAAGTTGTGACAGCTAAACGTCTAAAGTTTACTGGCTTAAACTTGACATGTTGGAATTCTGTATAATTTAGTCATTGCATCGCCAAAATAAATTTGGTGATATTTTTCAATTTTTAAATATGTTATCGTTGATACAGATGAACTGCAGATGATACAGATATAAAGAAAACAATATATGCACCAACAAACTGAAAAGACATCAGGCTAAGCTTATATCAGTCTTTTCCCATTTAATGTCCGATATCCACTCATCATATATAGAGGAAAAGCAATATTGTTTTTTACAATAAAAGTACTTAAAATCTCTCGCTTTCAAACTCCAATCACACTTGCCATGTAGTGAGATAATCACACCAACAAATGGACAAATTATGGCTAGCAAATAGTAAGTAACATTAACTGAAATATTAATAAGTGTTGATGGTGAAAAAAACCCAAAGGGAGATAATCTAGAAAAAGGCTTAATGTAGTGTTATAATATATATTTGGTAGAGTTACAACTTAATATACCATTTATGATATGGAATCTAGACTTGTTTTGATGTAGGATTTTGTATGATTGAGTATACAGATTTGCATATCTTAACTGATTCTACACAATGGACAATGTGATGTCTATACTATAATTATTATCAAGGGGACATTGGAAAAAAGTGTATTGCATTTTCTATATTAGCACCTCAGGTACATGGACAGTCATCAACCGATTAGGCCGAGTATCCTTTTTGTTAAATGTTAAACAGAATTGTTTGTAACGGACATGTTTTGTTATTAGATAAGGAAAAGATGGATGGATAGTAGTATGCTTAAGAGTAAAATTTATTGTTACATTTCTATTTTGGTTGAAGATGATTTTTCATTGGATAGCCCGTGCAGTGATTGAGTACATTATCTATTAAGTATATTACCAGGTGCATTAGTGTCACGGTCGCTTTCTGCAATAATATATAAAAATTTGAAATTACAATATTTTTTATCTCATTTGGAATGAATAAAAACAGAGAAGGTAAAAAAACACAGATCCGTGATGAACATTGATAAAGAGTAAAGATAAAAAACAGAACAGAAAAGTCCAAAACAGATACATTGTACTTGATAAAGAGTAAGAATAGAAAGGTCCAAGAACAGATCCTGAAGGAAGACCTGCAGTTTTTGATTTGGTATATGATTGATACCATTAAATGACGACAGATATTTTCCTTACAAATAGGCTTTAAACCATTCATTATTACACCATGTGTTTTAGTTTATACAAGTGATTTAAATAATATATATCAGAAAACAAAGTTAAGTTATTTACCTTTATCTAAATGCGAACGTAGTGTGCTAAATATATCTGCAAGGGGAATAACAGTTAAGTCTCTATGTTGAAATCCTTACTAACGTTCACTTAGCATGTTACATGATGTATGTTTCATTATATAATTGAAGGTATGCTTAAAGAAAAACGTTTCCCCGACATTTTGATAAAAACAGATGTTATAGCTATATCTGTAATTATTAAAGTCACTGACATCTTTTCTACCTTTGTACATCTGGAGTTTCACCTCTGTCTCACCCTATCATTAAAATAAATTAAGAGGTTATCTATGTGAGGTTGAAAATAAGTTTAACTAAGGAAATGAATTAGATAATGTCCAAAGGTATACTTGTTTTAAGCCGGCACACTTCCTGATGTTATTGTTTTTGTATCATACTTTTTTGGGGCCAATTTATCGTGTTACATGAAATATGGATATTTTTTGTCAAATTTGATAATTACTATGTGCACGTAAAAGTTCACTGGTATACTGTGTGCAGAAAAGAAAGTATACATTTGTTCTGCACATTCACGCATAATCCATTTAAAATGGCACAGCAGAGTAGGTGTTATATACAAACGTAAAGGTAATAAATTTTCAATAAAGATAAAAATCTAAATTCAGCCCAGTATTACTGATTTACATCTCGCGTTCGCTCTTTCTCGTATTGTAATCTGATTTTCTCAGTATATTCATCAATAATAACTCCCATTTCAACGTGAATAGATGTGATCATTTCGCGTAGAACTTTGTAATTTCCAATACTGATCTTCTCCATGTTTCTTAATTCATCGATTACCATGAATATATTCTTCAATCCAGCTCTGCAAACCTCGTCTAAATATTCTGATAATAAACAATCGAAGTTGGCCCATTTCGATTGTAGGCGTGGGTGAAGGTGTTTACTCAACTTAACTGCCATTTCATTTTCTAACTTCTTCATCTCTTCCGATGCTTCCATGTCATTTACCATCTGTACAAAAAGAACAACCGTAGGTAACTGAAAGTGTTTCACTTGTAAAAGTTAGTATGTGTATGTCTTTGAATTAAAGTATATGAAATTGCA